AAATGTCCTTTTAGAAACCAATGCAGCACTTATTTATTCAGAATTGCAAGAACTGTTACAAAAGTTCACAGTCAGTTCACATGATAATGTTTCTGCCATTGAGAAAATGATTAAGTGATCCGTCTGAAAATGGCCAAAAAGTCTATTCTGGCAATACAGGAACATGCAACAGCAGCAGCTCCTATGATTGCAATCCAGGGCTCTCTTTTGTGCTCTGTGCTGATGGAATGAGGACTCAGCCTTTTGTTTTCCTCACTATCTTCTAAATATATTAAAAAGATAGCCTTGAAGCTCAGCAATTTAGGGAGAAATCCTGGCCTTTTTGGGTCAGCAAGTGTTTTGCTATTGTGTTCAGTGGGGCAGGATTTCACCTATATAATATATAATATAATATAGTAATATATTTCATCATATATAGACGAGCATACAAACAGTAAGCGGAGTTGGCCCATGCATGCTCCACCACATGCACAAAAGTAACAAGTATGTTCACATATACAAAATCACAGCACTATCAGAGGGTCAAATCTTGATTAATATAATCTATTCCCCTTGACTTGAGGGGAAGTAGAAGATGTTTAGTAACTTTCACTAGGTGTGCAGCACTATGGAGGGTCATGCAGGAAGGCCATATCCTGAGAATGGGATCACATCACTCTGAAGGTCAGTGTAACTTGCTGGGCATCAGCATGTTTCAGGATTTGGTTCCTTTTTTAAATTTTGTCCTGGATTTATTGATAAACTAAATCAACTCTGTGAAGGCTTCTTGTGGCTGGAAGCCTAGCTTGATAAGACTTTTCATGAATACTTACAAGGAAATGGGGGTCGTATGTCAGACTCAGATCTCTCTGCATATTACTAGTTCACCAAACCCTTCTCTGGTTTTAAAGACTGACAGATACCTGTTTTGTTTTGTTTTGTTTTTTAATTAGAGATAAGTCTTTGTTCTCTTTCTTCTTGATCTGTATTAATTGCTTGGCAACCTTTACCTCAGACATGTTGTACTCTAGCAGCTTTACATGTTTTTCTGCTTATGAAGCAAGTTTTCACCAGAATCTTGTATCTCTTGTTTTATCTCTGCAGTGCTTGTTCTGGAAGGGCTCTCATTTTATTTTATTTTATTCTTTCTTTTATCTAACCTTGGTCGAATTTCATTTCAGGCTAAATACCTTTTCTTTGCAGTACAATGCTGGCAAGGCTTTTTGGTTAAAAAAGATGCACTCATTTTCACAGAATAACCAAAAGCAGTCTCCTTGAGTCCTCTTTCTGAATCCACAGAAACATCAGACAGGCCTTCTACTGTATTTTATTCAAAATGTCAAAAGTGGCAAGGAGTAAATGTTCTGCAGGGAGGTATTGCATAGCCTGTTTTGATGCAGATATACTGGACCATATTTCTTACTGATGTAAATGGGTACTGCTTCACTGAGGAAATTTTACCCAGAAAGCTCTTCGCTTGCCCTTTATAAAAATGGCTTCAGGCACACACTGTTACATGCCAGTTTTGCCTATACTTTTTCAAACGTCACAGCTACTGCTTACAAGTACTGAACAAATTTAGGGCACAATGCTGCAGGATATTTGGTGTTTTCAACCCTAATAACTTCAAAGGCTTCTAGTGACTTAAAAATCCCATTAAGAAAATTGATGACAATAGTGTCATGCTAAATATACTGCATATGGGACTTGCTCTTCTCATCTCATTCATGCCAACTCACTTTCTACCATTCTACTATGTGACGGCCAGAACCAGAGGGATTAACAAACAATAAATATGTGCTTCTTGGAGGCACTCCCAACTCTGCATCCTCAATCCCAACCAAACAGCCCAGTGGCTGATACAGTTGCAGCACCCAGTCAGCCTGCAGCTAAATTGATACACTCACAGTGCCCAGCTGGCCTGTGAGCTGTGGGATGACCCAGAGAGCAAGGGTCCGTATGGTGAAATTGCAGAAACTAAGCCAGGAGATGATGAGTATGTGAGGCTTGCAGAAGAAGCCTGCAAGATCCCACCTTCTTATGCCCCACCGGCCCAAGAGAATTTAGGAGGAGAGTTAGCCCAAACCGTCCCAGTAATGATGACCCATGCAGGGCCACAAGGGAAAATCTCTGGATGGAGACACGTTCCTTTACTCACACAGAAATCAGAGAATTACAAGAACAACTTAAGGCCAAACCAGGGGAGCCAATAATAGACTGGTTAGTTCGAATGTATGGTGAAGGAGCCTCGGCAGTATCTGTGAGTCTCACAGAGACAGCACAATTAGTTCTCCGCCCCAAAATCCAGTTGGGTCAGTGGGTTGGGCAGGACCACAACATTACTCATTTTTCTGCTGCAATACAGGTGGCTGCCGCGAGTTACGGTAACATGAAAGAAGAGCTTAACCCTCCCCCATAGGCATGGGCTAACTTAGAGGAAGCTATCTGCTGTCTGTATCAGCTCTCCTTAACTGAAATCATTCAAGCAGGAAACTGGAGGCACACTCTAGATGAAGAACTAGTGACAGAAGCCATGTGGAGGAAGTTCTGCCAGCGAGCACCGATGGAATGCACCTCAGCCCTGCTGGCCTTACAACAAGAGTTAGTAACTCAACCGGTAAGAAATGTGATCCAGCGGTTGGTACAGCTTCTGCCCATCTTGCAGAAGCCGGGGCTTCTCAAACTAATAAAAACTGCCAAGGCCATGGCAGTGGCCCCCGAGAAAGACAACCCAGCAGGGCCCCCCACGTCCGGGAAAGTGGGAAATGAAAGATCTAAAACCCTCAGGGCACAAATGTGGAGAGAGTTACTGGCAGCAGGGTTCAATAAAGAGCAGATTGACGGGCTGCCCACCCTGGTCCTGCAAGGGTTATGGGCCAAACACTGCGAGGACAGGAAAGGGAAGGCAAGAAGCCCTTGGCACCCCCTGACCTCCAGCAGTAGGAGACCTGGCTGACCCAGGCCCTCGGGCAAGGGGCCATCATGGGGGCAGTAGAGGATCGGGAACCGGTAACACAGAATAATATTGACCCCTTAATCCAAGTGCCTATAAAAATGTGTTTAAATGGAAGGAAAAAGTCAATTAACATGCTACTAGACACTGGTGCCCAGCTATGTGTTTTAAACTATGCAGAATGGAAAGGGGCATGGGGAACCCCCTACCAGGTAGTAGGAGTGGGAGGCGCCAAACAACCAGGACATCTGGTCTGACCCATGTTCACCTTGCCTAATGGTTCCATAGTAACAGCAGCTGCTGTAATGCTCTGGGGAGGGCTGAATTTACTGGGTCTGAACATGTTGCAGGGGCAGTGGTTTGTCCTTAAGCAGGAAACCTGGCAGTTTGTCTGCGCCATGGCTCAGGAGAGCAAGCAGGGAGATGTGATGACGGCAGTAGCCCGATTTTCTATGACCCCGCTCACACTGCCAGCCATGACAGAGGTACACCGACCTTAATACGGCACATCTCCTGAAGCAACACAACCCATTCAAGACATTATCAACTGGCAGCTGGGGGATGGAACCATCATTCGAACTTATTCCCTGTACAAAACCCGGTGTGGCCGGTATGTAAACCAAATGGGAATTGGCGATTGATTGTTGATTTTAGGGCTTTGAATGCCAACACCGACCATCTGACAGCCACGGTCCCATCCATGCCTGCACTGACAAAAAGCATTAGGTGCTATGGCCCCCAGTGGATGGGATCTGTAGACATTAAGGACATGTTCCTTGCTATCCCCATCCATGAAAATCACTGGCCTTTGTTTTCCTTCACATGGCTGGGACAGCAGTACACCTACACAGTCCTACCCCAGGGCTGGGTGCACAGCCCCATCCTGGCCCCTGAAGTGCTAGCCGCAGAATGGCTACATTGGCAGCATGGGCACCCTGGCCGCAATGGTACTGCCTGCCTAGCAGCCACCTGAGGCATTCACCTAACTAAAAGGGAAGCGCAGGAATTAGTCAACTCCTCCATCACCTGCCAGGAGGTCAAAGCCTGACTAACCCCTGCCTCGACTACCCCTTTGTCGCTGCGCAATCCCCTGAAGTGCTAGCCGCAGAATGGCTACATTGGCAGCATGGGCACCCTGGCCGCAATGGTACTGCCTGCCTAGCAGCCACCTGAGGCATTCACCTAACTAAAAGGGAAGCGCAGGAATTAGTCAACTCCTCCATCACCTGCCAGGAGGTCAAAGCCTGACTAACCCCTGCCTCGACTACCCCTTTGTCGCTGCGCAATGGAAAGGTAATATGGCAAGTTTAGTAATGTGACTTTATAGGCCCACTTCCCCGCACTCCCAGAAAGCGACAGTATGTGTTTGTAGCAGTGGAAGCAGTCACTGGAATGATATTCAGCCGGGCCTCCGCCAAGGCTACTGCACAGGACACCTGTGCAGCACTGGAAAACCTGTTAGCCATCTACCCACCTCCCGTAGAGCTGCAAAGTGACAATGGTTCACATTTTTGCAACCATCTTGTCTATGAGTGGGCCACGAAACATCATGTGCTGTGGACCTATCACATTCCCTATCACCCGCAATCTAATGGACTGGTAGAATGAGCTAATGGTATCTTAAAGTGCAACCTGCGAATGGCCGCTGGTTCAGCCCTCAAGGACTGGGTCCTGCACCTGGGTTGCTCAGTCAACTGGGCCAACAATCGGCTCTGTGCCGGAGGAAGCCCCATGCAACAAGCCTTTGGTCAAAGCAGGCCCTGCGAGCTGGCAGTGGAATGGCTAAGGGGTGGCTGTGGGAAACTCCAGGCAAGAGACCAGGCAGTAGTTAGGCATCTGCAGGGGGACATATGGGAAGGGGTGCTAATGGCACAGGACACATATAACTCATGGTGGGTGTCAAGGTCAAATCCATCTAACGGGAGCCAGACTCCATTTTTCCTTGTTTCTGCAGATTGGGTCCACCCGCGGGCACAGCCATAGTGGCCTTGGGGGGCTCTGGAGTCATCATTCTGCTCCAGAGCAACGTCACCACCCTCATCCAGCAATGAAGGGGTGGAACGCCATCATGACGGGACTGCTAGTCATTTGCTACTGGTTGACTAATGTGGGGCATTCACATGCTCCCGCGCCCCGGATTGCACCCACTGCCAAAGCCTCAGACGTGCTGGGATACTGGAATACCCAGCCACGATTGAAGAAGTGTGAAGCTGGCCCTGGAGCCGCTGATGGTGAATTGTGGACTGGCAGGGAGAAATCTGTCAATGTTACTGTGGGACGGGGTGGTTACTTAGTTTTCTCCCGTATGCCAGGGCAGGGAAAAACGAGTGTGGAACAAAAAGGGATTGTTGTGGTTACTTCCAATGGCCCTTGTGCTGTTACATTCTGCCTACAGGTACCCATGCCAAAGTAAATGTTGTTGCTTCTGCCAACCATGTATATGCCACCTGGCAGAAATCATATTTGTAGGCCTTATCAAATGCTCCAAAGAAGCAAGGAGTGGATTGTGATGGCCAGAACCAGAGGGATTAATAAGCAATAAATATGTGCTTCTTGGAGGCATTTAGTATTTTGCCTAATAGGCAATATTAGCTAATATCAAGCTTGTAAGTTCGTAACCTGCAAATGTAACTTGTCTGTCATAAGTTTAACCAAAATGATAAAACTAACTGTTCGTGGAACTGACTAGGCCCCAAAGGTGAAGCTGTAGCTGCAAGATTAGCTGACCTAACGGTTTTTGCTCAGAGTTCAGCCTTGACGATAAAAACTGGATTCAACCACCTGGCACACCCAACACATTCCAGGAAAGCACATTCCAATAAAGCATATTCAGAGAAACCTAAAAGGGGCTGGGCTTAGGTGGAGTAATGTCAATTTAAAACCTAAAGGTGCTGCATTATAATTTGCTTATTGGATAAACCCAAGTCTAGGTAGTAACCTTTTATGGTAATTTTTAACACCGTTCAATCGCATAGGGTAACAGCTATAGGGCAAGATTGTGAGTGGCTCTAAAGCCAACAGATTAGCATAAGACTAAGTATAAAAAGCACGTGTGTCAGGTGACCAGCAGGAAGGAGGGAACAGAACGGTCATTGCTATTCCAAGCCTGGACTCCGGACTCCCAGTGTGACTGAGGATTGGATCCTGATCAAGGGATTTTCCCCAGTAACCCCTCCAACAGTGTCGATTGGGGACACCTGACTTCGCTGAAATCACTTGGCGCGCACCTGGTATTGAGGGACTATTGACAAGTTGCCAACCCATGTCAGTCTATCTGTTGTTTTAAACAGCCCAGTAGCTGATACCTTCACAGTGCCCAGTTGGCCTGCAACAGATTGATCCATTTATCTGTTGTTATTATATGTTGTTATTATTTACTATTAGCTCTGTAATACTGCATTATCTGCTTGTTGCATTTATCTTTCTGTTAATTGTAGTGTGTGTAAGCTATAATAAATTTGCCTTTGCTTCACTCCCAACTCTGCCTCCTCGATCCCGAACCAAACAGCCCAGTGGCTGATACAGTTGCATCACCCAGTCAGCCTGCAACTAAATTGATATAATCACAGTGACCAGCTGGCCTGTGACACTACTATTACAAGGAATTTAAAGCAGAACACAATTATGCTAACATGGCTTGTATAAAAGTCCAACATAAAATCACACATTCTTAGAAATCTTAAGAAAATGGAAATGATAGAAAAATATCTACTTTCCCCAAGGAAACTTTCTTTAATAATATACAAATTGCCAAGAATCTTTTGAAAATCTCAGCATTTCTATTTTTATTATAATTTGTTCTGAAATTATTAATCACTCTTTCAGCAAGTTCTGCAACTTCCCCTTAAGTTTGCAGCAAATAAAAATTTTGTGGTACAAACAAAAAGACATATAGTTCCAATTAACTTTCAAAGATAATGCTTAACATCTCTAAGCAAGTTCAGGTGAGCAAAAGAGTAAGAACCACTGATTAGCTGATGCAGGGCACTAATCATTCAAGGTTAGTTTTGACTATTTGTCACTGGAAACAAAGTCACCTTCACAGAAAATTCTGAATCTCAAGCGTTAGAGAACAACAAAAATTAAGCAGCATTTAAAATTGAAATGCAAACCTAATGGAATTGAACAAACACCGCCACCTAGTGAAGAAATTAAAAAGGAATAAATCATTTGTTTTAAAAACTGCGTCATAAATGGCAACATACAGCAGCTTCACAGGGGTTTGTTTTTTTTAAGCTTGTTAATTCTTATGTTAGGATAATCACTTAAAATCTTTTCTTCCAATATATTCTTTCATTATAAAAAATAATTAAAATTCCCTTTTCTGTATTTCCTTTACTGCTTGCATCAAGCCTTTTATTTCATGGAAATTACAAAACAGAATGTGGCTATTGTTTGTAGTGGCTGTGGCTCACTTTGCACGCAGTTTTTGTAGATCTCACCAAAAAATTGCACATTCAGGTGCATAATATACCTTACCTGGTCAGTTCATGTGAATAGATTCCTACATCAGCACCCACTTTTGTAAGTGCATTACCCACACCCATGTTTTGCAGAGTTCAGGGAATTTTCTGTGTTGTTATTATTGCAGAGAGAGAGAAATAGAGGGGTAACTAAACATCTGATTACTTTTGAAAGCATTTTAACTGTCTCTTGTGCGGGCCCTCTCCCGATCCCACCTGGGTCACCATGTGCGAGTTCTCTCCCGATCCCATCCTCGTCGCCATGTGCGAGCCGGGGGCGAGCTGGGCCCGTCTTTGCGCACACGGGCTGTGGCCAGCAGCCCGGGCACGCGGGGTCGGAGAGGACCGGTGGCGAGCTAGAATTAGTCACGGGCGCGTAATGGTTGATTTAAAGATTGTTTACTTACACCAAAGATGGTCGTGGTGTAGGCTGGACAGTTTCCAGGTTCAGCTCCGCTTAAATCCTCGTTAGAGGACTACAACAATTTGTTCTTTGCCCCGGAGTTATTGAAGCTCCGCGGGTTCGGTAGTTTCTTTGCCCCGGAGTTATTGAAACTCCGCGGGTTCGGTAGTTTCTCGTACAGGAAGGGATACGTCTAGGATTTTATCGGCAACGGGGAGAGGCTAGAGGCTGTTCGTTCTTTTCCCCGGAGTTGTTGAAGCTCCGCGGGTTCGGTTATCAGGCCTCTATTGCCTTTTAAGAAAGCAAGCAAATCGCTAGCCGCCACGTGTGCATGTATTAGAATCGGCCAATAATGTGGCACAAATCTTCATACAAATGGCGGGAACTCCTTTGCACCGTGCATTTCCTGGATGCAAAAGAAATGCACCATGCAAAGAAAGCTACAAATTTGACGGGAATACTCCGTTGCACCGGGGTTCTCCTCTGCAGCAGAAAACTCCACCGTGCAAAGAAGCTGCAATTTAGCGGGAAAATAATTTAGCAGTGCCGAAGCGCACACAAACAAAAAATCACAACTTTGGGTTGTGACATCTCTGATAATGTACTCCTTTCCAGGGTTGAAGGAAACAATGCAATAGATTTATATTTTGTTTCAAAGATTGCCGTGAATAATTTTCGGCCCGTTTGAATACATGTGTGAGTGTTCAAGGGAAGCTTACATGTGCACATCTGTTCTTAGAACCCAATCATTAATACCTAGCACAGAGATTCTCGTCTGGGTTGATCCCTTGAGGAGTGCCATGGCACCCAGGCAGTGGGTGAGGAGTAAAGTACTATTCTTCCCCACACCTGCTACAGCATCTCACAGACCAGCAGCATAGCTGGCTGCTGCTACCCTCCCCTGCCCTTTGGCATGCCTGTGTGGGCTTCCTCATACTCTGAGCAGCATGGGTGGGTGGACTTGTGGACACAGCCATACCTTTTAGCCTAGCTCACCTCCATGTCTTTTGTGCTCCCAAAGCCAGCAGGAGGGGCTGTGGAGGCAGATGTCTCTACTCCTGGTATGCATGACCTCAGGGAAGTAGCTTTGGATGCAGGGACCATCCTTACTTCCTCAGGTATGGATTAGGGATGGGAAGGGGGCAGGCGGTAGAAAGAGCAGGGCATAGTAAAATGAAGTCCTGCGCCCACCATCCTCCCCTGGCACCAGCTAGATCAGTGTTTCTCAACCTTTTTAACCTCAAGGCAGCCCTTTGTGACTTTTTTGAATTTAGATTATAGCTCAAGAAATCTGAACTGCACCCTGGGGTGCCACTAAATTCAGAAAAGTTATGTAAGGGTGACGAGGCTAAAAAGGTTGAGAACCACTGATCTAGCATAAATTAGGGCTCAATTCTGAATAATGCTCAGTATCTCCTGAGAAGTACCCTACATCCACAGCTGCCTTTGCTTTAAACAGGTGCCTGCTAGAAATCAGGAGCTAGGAGATATTCAGTGTATTGCTCAATCAAGCTTTAACGATTTTTTGAACTTTAAGAGATGATATGAACTAAAGCAGGTATTTGTCCAGGAGCCAGAAGGGTTCAGAGGGGACACACTGTTACTCTGCGATGATCTGACACTAAACTAGTTTTAGTTTTCTCCCCATTTTTAAAGCCTTCTAACTGTTCCTATAATTGGACATTAAAATAGCTTTGACCTATTTCTCCCCAGTCTGTCTGTGTTCAAATCCTTTTGAATGAGGAAAAAGCTGATCAGTGAGATTTTGAATGAAATGCAGGGCAAAATCTCTCTGCCCCAGACATGACTAAAATGGAACAGTTCCAAAGGGCATTCTCCTCACCCAAAATGTAATAGGGGCTAAGTGTCCTGAGGCTATTTCTGAACCTGCTGCTGTCTAAAGTGTTGTGGCTGCTGCCACTCAGAGCTGTTGCTAGTAAAATCATTGCTGCCCCTTGCAGAGTGGGCTTTGAACTCCTAGAGAACAAGCTGAGGCCTGCACTAGCTGAGCCTAATTGAGTGCCCCTTGACCCACGTGTGTGTGTTCACACACGTCAGGGTTGCCAACTGACAGTAAATTTCCTGATTCTCAGTAAAAACAATCTGGCTAAAAATGACTGTCAGTAAAGTCTGTAAAAATAACTTCAGCTATCAGTAAAAACACTAAGCAGCCACAGCTTGACTGAAGCTCTGACAGAGCATAGCGGTGCCACCTGGGGAATGAACAGGATCACAGGCCTCTGTAAGGAGCATTCTCTCAGGCATGTGCTGCTGCTGGCTGCCTGTAATCCCAGGCTGCCTGTAATACTGCCACAGGTAGGCTTCTTTGAGGGTCTGGGACAGAATGGGAGAAGCACAGCCAGTG